TTTTGCCTTATTCCCCCTGAAAAGATCCTGTGCAGTACTTTAAGTACAACACCAGCATCTTTCTTTGATCATCTTTATATCTTTGCCAGCACGTCCTAGCATTAGCTCCCTCTGCCTAGCTCCCAAATAAAACCAGACAACTCTGGATGCCCTGATGCCGTTTGCATAAAGGACAGACAACAGCATCTGAATTACACACTAGTAATCAAGAGGTCTTGGCCAACACTATGATGGGCTTGCACGTTCTTTCTGGCCTAGGCACCTGTTGTGGTGACAGGCTGGTGTTTGCATGCGTCTACCTGTGAAGACCTGGGACCATTCTCCTGCTGAAGCAATTCCATGCAGCAGCAGCGAGATCCACTCTCGAATATGTCTTTCACAGGCAGCTCCAGCCAGAAGAACATCCTGAAATGTACCTAATTCATCTCCCATCAGGGCCAAGAGCAAAGTTTCCACTGGTGACTTCACCTCTGAACCCTTCATGGCATCCCCACTCAACTGATTTAGTTGGGATTGGTTGATTTAGATGGGGACTGGTCCTGTTTTGAGCAGGGGGTTGGACTAGATGACTTCCTGAGGTCCCTTCCAACCCTGATATTCTATGCTTCTATGAACTCTTGCCCTCGGTATAGGGCCCACGCAAAAGGAAAAGATGACCAGCTCGTGCCATTTTTCAGGTCTTGACGATGGATAAAGAAGCCTGAGGATTTATTTTTAAATGGATTGTTCCCTGCATTAGAAGTTCAGACCTTGCCTGCTCGGGAAGACTCTACAGAGAAAGGAGAACTAGTGAAAGTAGGACATCGCACGGGTCAGGAGGAGAGAGGAAGTGGAGCAGTTCAGAGGGGAAGGAGATTTACAGTCGCATTGTTTTAAAAAGCTTTATTTCTGGTTCCTTTTTGTTAGCATCTACTTGACTCCAGTGACTAATGAAGACCTTAGAGAAAGCACATCTTTGTTAAAGAGCCCCTCCTCACTCCCTCTATAAAGGTGCGAAGGCATACCATACCCATGGGTCCTCCTGGAAAAGTAGGGAAGATTTGACATTGCCGATATTTAAGGTAAAAAATCCCAAACACCTTCTTGGCCATCTTTATAAAATAAGCAAAATAGGGTACAGCTCAATTTTTGAAGTCTCTTTTGGAGGTCACCTTGACATGAACTATGCACTTTACATCTCGGCATACTAGACAGCTGTGGTTGCAATAGCAACTGGGAAATCCTAACATGGGGGGGTGGCCAGAGAAGGGTCCATGGGCCAAACAGTCTGCAGGATTCTACAAGGCAATCCACAGCCACTCTCGGCTTTACTATGGAAGGCTGCTCAGGTCAAAACAGAGCACAGCATGCTGGGAGTTGTAGTCTTCAAGGGCTGCACCTATGCAACCCAGATGGTAGAAGCTGCAATATCTCCACAAGGCAGGTGTGGCTCTGGGGCTCCTCACAAGTTGCAACCAATCTTTAGTTGCATAAAGTGGAAGCACCGCTGCCCTAGATGCATTATATACATCTCCTATAGAATCTGTACTTCTCTCTGGCATATGTCTACATACAGCTTGTCTCCCTACAGAGATCACCGCATTGACTACTCTTGCTAGTCTGAACACCCCGAGGTGCCCACAGTTCTGCGCTGGGCTCTGCCATGCTGCTGAGGCTAGTTGGAGGATTCTGTGTCCATATCAGGAGATAGCGACAGCCTCCTGGTCTCTCCGTTGTTCACATTCTTCTTGCTGTCTTCCCTCTCAAGATCATAGTTCTTATCTTCTAATCTCTGCCTGAGCTTGAGGGACGACTCCCTCCTGGTGAGGAGCACGGGTGGGATGCTGGGGAATCCTCCACACGGTGTCATACGCTTCTCTGGGAACAGACGCAAACAGAGGATTATTTCCCAGGGCACGTGCAGTTTCAGACAGAAGCAGCACAGCCATAAGCCTCTCAGTGTCATGTAACGGCCATTCATCCCAAAGCACTTCACCAACTTGAGTGTATATTCTCACTTCACCTGCTCCTGAAATGCAGCTACTTCTGGGGTGCAACCTGGCAGCTGTTAAACAGCACAGAGCAACACTAGGCAACTGAAGACAGGAAGTGAAAGAAGAGTCAGAATGCAATTGCTCTCCCTGGCATTTGGCTAGGAGACTCGGTTTAACACCCCCTAACCCAGTGAAAAGGAACACAATGGAATATTTAATAACCACAAGTGGTTAGGATCTTGTATTTACATTCTGTGTGGAAGAGAGCGCCTCCAACTGCCCAGTGTTCCCAAAGCACTATGTAAGTTCCTTAGAGGTCTCCCATCCAAGTAAAGACCAGGCCCAACTCTGTTTAGCTTGTGAGATATGAAAGGATCCCAAGGCAGAATGGCTGCAAAATAATGAGCTCTCATATTAAGGTATATTTTTGCCCCAAAGTCCTAGCCCCACCTCTTACCTCCTGGCCCAATGGGGTGCATCAGTCGATTCATCTGGACGTTCCAGTGCTTGACATTGGTGCTGGCCTGTCGGAGCTTCCTCTGGGCCGCCTGAAATGAACAGGAACAGGCAGGTAACATGCACGCAGCCAGCAAATCCACCTAGTGCAGAGCCACGTGCCCTGGACCAGCTGCAGAAAGTTCCCATCTTCTTGCACAGAAACTGGGCCTCGCCCTTACGTTGCCTTGAAGAATGGAGATTGATCGGAACTATCCTGGGCTCTGCTTTGGCAGGGGTTTGAACCAACCAGAGCCAGCTTTGGGGACCCCAAGCCCCATGGGCCAGAGGGGCACTCTGATTTGTGTGACAATCCTGAATTTTGCATGGAGTCTGCTAACGGCCAGAACAATGCTCAGCTACCGACACCTTCCTAATCAGGCTGCTCTTTGCCACCCCGGCTCTGCTTTTTCACGGCTCTAATCCCTCCATCCCCATGCCTTGATGCCTTTGCTACCCGTAAATGTTCCATTGTCACCCCTCAAGGCAGAAGTCTGGCCTCGATTGATAACCACAAAGTGCCTCACCTATGCAGATGCTGCTGGACAGATAATAAATTAATCAATATGCAACATGGTAGCGAGGGAATCCCATCTTGGTGGTTTGGCGACCCACCCTTAGGGGTGCCATTCCAGCAGATTTCCCACAATAGAGTTTGCCAGCTGAGCCCGGTGGACTTGAAACTTACAACCACCGCTCATCACTCAAACCACCACTTTCTCCCCTCCTGCCAATATTCTCTGGGAACCTGTTCTTAACGTATGGAAGAAAACATTCAGTTGGGTGCAGTTGTAACACGCTGCTAAGACACCAGGTGATCTCCCACTCTACTGGCTGGTCTGCCACCCGGAAGATACTACCGCTGCTGCGAACAAAGCTGCCGTAAAGCTAAAGTAAACTGCTCCCTCAAATACAGAGGAGAACATACCGCTCCTGCGGAAGAGTATGAAACTCTGCCCATCAGAGCAGCTGCCAGTCACTCACCAACGGCGCCTTTAACAAGAAACGTGAGCACCTAGATGCTATGGCGATGGGTATATTTATACATGCTTAGACAGGGGAGTTCTTTTCTGCTGAAATCCATCGGCCCGATGTCCTTGATCTACCAGTGTTTACATGGGTGTAATGCCGTCTACTTCAATGCAGCTACTCCACATTTACAGCAGGGCATGTGAGAATAGGCTCGGGCCCCATTTCTCTAGTATTAAGGAGAATCACATGCTAAAAGTAAATTACGTGATCTTCCCTGAGAGGAAACCCCAATCTCCAGAATAGTAAAGCCATCCTATTTCTTTCCAGGAGGTGGGCTTGGTAAATCTCTCTCAGGGGGGTTAAAGGCAGACGGGGAAGTAGGGCTGGTACGATGCTCACCATGACATCCTGGTCTACCCTCTGCCTGTTCTCTCTCACTTCTTCCAGCTGCTTTTGGGCCTCTTCCAAATATTTGCTCTTGTTTTCCATCTCCTGCTTAAGGACCTGCTTCTCCCGCTGGGTCTGGATGATGTATTCCTCCTGCTCCTCCTTCAGCTTCATCAGCTCCTTCAGCTTCTCCTCCTCCTCAGCCAGCAACCTGCCAAGAAAGAGCGAGAGGCAGCTACACCCCACCCTCCAAGCGACCAACACGCCCAACCTCGCCGTGGTGGGGCTCGGAGCTATTCCAGGCCCAGCAAGAATGCCGGGGGATTGGTTCCACTCCTGATCACCTCCAGCGGGAATTTAGGGAAAGGCATAGAGGCGCTGGCTGGGAAGGGGTACCAGCTGGGAAGGCTGGGCACTGTAAGGAATGGTGTAGGAGCACTGTCCCTGAAAGAAGTTCTCAGTTTCTCCTGTCGCCGTCTCTTCCAGCGAGGGGGGCGGTGGGGAATAGTGGAGCAGTGCTGGAGTAACACCACACCCCTGAGTGGGTCAGCAGCAGTGGGAATTAAACCTGCGACCTCTGGATCTAAAAGCAGGAGCCTCAACTGTCGGACCTAAAAGACCCAGCTCTGTTAGCCAAGGCTGTAGCAGGCGCATCAACCTCTCTATGTGGCCCAGCCACCACTAGGCAAGGAAAAGCATCCCAGTGAGTGGCTGTGCAAGCGCTACCAGCTCCTCTAGACCCAGCTGAGCTGTAGCCAGCTTTTAGAGCATTGCCCACTGAGGAGTCAGTAGGAAGAAAGTATCAGAGGGGTAGCCGTGTTAGTCTGGATCTGTAAAAGCAACAGAGAGTCCTGTGGCACCTTTAAGACTAACAGATGTATTGGAGCATAAGCTTTCGTGGGTGAATGCCCACTTCATCGGATGCATCCGATGAAGTGGGCATTCA